CTGCTGAGTTCTTCCAACTCCCATCCCCCCATTTGCACACTCACAGGCCTACCTCCAGACACAAGGCTCACACGTCCGCTGTGCCTGCTGAGTTCCTGCAACTCCCATCCACCCCATGCCATTTGCACACTCACAGGCCTACCTCCATGCCTGACATATATGTAAATGCAGATCTCATCCTTTGCTTGACAAATGTGTATCTCACCCTTCATCAAAGGGGTTTCTTTTTGCAGTCAACAGAGACCATTTCAGAAAGCCACAACTGGCCATGGGGTACCCAGCCCCAGCTGATAGACCTATAACACCCGCCCCTACACCTAAGGCTCAGAGGACACTAGAGGAGTGGGACAGAAAGACTGCAGGAGCCAGAGGACCTTCTTCGAGGTAGTGTCTTCTACACGACAGGGAAGCCGCATCCAGAAACTCTCAATAATGCTGTTGCCTAAACAAGGCTTGAAGAATGGCAAGATCGTGGGAGGAGTAACCGGAGGGGAAATTATAATCAGAATATATAGTACGAAAAAAATATATTTTTTCAATAAAAGAAAAATGACAAGGCCTAAAAAAAATGACACCACCAGTTGACATACCAACATATATAGGGAAATCTCACAAGATTCCATCCCTAGATGAAGAGCTACAGGCAATTGATAGTTGCTGAGAGAGGGAGAATTAGTCTTCTCCAAGGATGAGACCCCCCCATAGGTTATCCAATCCCAAAGGTCAGCTCTAAACACATCTGAGCAATACTAAATGAACTTATAAACTTTTGTGTGTGTGTATCTATAATTAAAAAATAAGATCATGAATTTGAGAAGGAGTTATCAGGGATGCATATGGGAGGAGAGGGGGGATGATATAAATACAGTACTCACATATGGAATTTTCAAAGTTAAAGTTAAAAAAGAAAAGGAAAGCCCAGTGAATGCTGGAACATAGAACCATCACAGCAGATGAGCTCTTAGAAGCCTCTCTCCTGGGGGCCTCTGAAGGACACTTGTTCAGTAGTCCTTTCTCTCACCTCCAACATCCTAAGGACATAGGTACACAATTCTGTCATCTCTGAGCCAAACCCCATCAACCCGGACACCCCAAATCTCTTGCCCCAAAATCCAGATGTGACCTTCAACCCTAGGAAACCCACTTTGGGCATTGTCAGAGGGCCTCACAAGGGGCCTCAGGGCACACCGAGGCCACTGTGTTATTCTGATAATGTTCTCACTGGGACAAGGCCAGCCGATCTGCCCACCTGTGCCCTGTTGTCCTCAGCTGTGGGTCCTAGATCCTTGTCCATGGACAGTATAAAGCTTCTCTGTGGCCTTGTAAGAGAAGTCTAGGTTTGGGTTATTGGAGTTTAACAGGGGTCTTCACCATGTCCTTCAGTTACCGCTGTCCTGCTTTCAGTCCGCAGCTGTGAGGAGACACTCGGACCAAAAGCGCTTTGGGGAGGAAGGGTCTGTGTGGGTTGTGCTTCCAGACAGATCACAGTCCATCGCTGAAGGAAGTCATGGCAGGAACTCCAGCAGGGTCTTGAAGCAGAAACCATGGAAGAACGCCGCTTGCTGGTTCGCTCCTGGGCTTGTGCTTCGCTGGCTTTTTCTACAGCCCGGGACTACTCGCCCAGCGATTAGTGCTGCCCACAGTGGGCGGGGCCCTCCTCCATCAATTAACCATCAAGATAACCCCCACAGACATGCCCACAAGCCAATCTGATCTGTCCATTCCCTCAACGAGACTCCCTTCTCAGATGACTTGGTCGACAGTTGAAGCTAACTAGCAAAGCCACTGAAGTGGCTTTGGCTCCCTGGATGCTAACCCTCTGCTTGTCACTTTCCTTCAGGCCTCGGGGCTGGAACCCAAGCCGGTAGCAGACAGCATCCTGTTGTTACGCGACAAAAGATGGGAGGAAGTCAGAGGTGCCCTGATGTCTGCTTTCAGTCCTGAGAAGTTGAATGAGGTAAGAGATAGGAAGCGGATTCTTTCTCTTACTGAACCGGCTTCTCTCCAAAGTGAGGCAGAGATGGACCAGGTGCAAGGCCTGCCCAGGTGGTAGATCAAAGTGTCTCACCCACCGGGGCCCTCAGCCTATCCATTAGAGAAAGCAAAGTGCCTTGCATTGCCCTGGTGTCCCGCATGCCCGGGTACCATAAATCAATGGTTCACACTGCAAGCCTGGCTCTGTCCCGGGACACTGCTTGAGGCACTTTGAGGCACTCGGGAGAAAAATAGAACAGTGTTTCTCATACTTTCATGTGTAATTGACTGGGGAGCCTGTTCAAATGCAAACTCCCACCCAGGAGGTCCTGGCCAGGTCTGAGATTGTGAACTTCAAACTACCTGTGGGCGAGGCTGTTTTCTGGAGGGGCCGTTTTCTGAACGGTGAAGCACTTTGCAGGGCTGAGACGCGTCTTAGATACGGAAGTGCTGGCCTTGAGTGATGGGGAAGAAGAGGTGCTTTTCCCTGCAGAACTCTAGGAGGGCAGCCAGGCCAAGGTAACATCAGGCTCCATGAGATGTCACAAATGGCTCTGGGTGTTCTCCTTTCTCAACCCAATGGCCCTCCCTTTCCTATCAAAGCTGGTGTTGGCATTTCCTCAGAGCCAGTGTCTCCAGCATCCATTCCCAGCTGCTTGTGGAAGAAGGCCCAGGAGATAACAGACAGAACAGGTTGCTGCCCAAGAAGTGTGTCCTGACTACCTCCCTCCCCAGCAGATGTGACCCTGATGGTTTCTAGATGCTTCCTTGACCTCTAGCTCATTGGTTCTCACTATGGGATGAGGGGCAGATTACAACTTGTTGCCTATAATCCCAGCATTGGTGAGGCAGAGACAGGAGGATTACAAGTTTGAAGTCAGCCTAAGCCACATAATGAGACCTTCTCTCAAAAAACCAAACCAACCAAACTAAAAGCTAATTCTTCTTGGCTACTCCAAGTCACATGGAATTAAAGTGTCTGAGGTGCCTGAGAACCTGTGGGTCCCTCCAGGCTTCGGTTAAAGCCTGAATTGGACAGCCCCAGGGTGGGGGTGCTCTGCTCGGTCCCCCCACCTCACTGTACCACTCACCTCTCTGCTGCTTTCCCAGGTCCGGTCTTCTCTGTCTTATATCTCTCTGACTCCAAGGGGCTGTGGTCAGCTTATGTATTTACTGGGTTGGTTGTGTGCCTCATCCTGCTTTGTGGATGCTCCATGGGACAAAGTTTTTTCTTTTTCCTGTTATGTTATCTTTGTAACTTTTCGCTGCACACACAAGGTATATAATAGACACTTAGGTGGCTCAGTGGATGGGTGAATGCTGTGTGACAAGAAAAAAATAAAAGGGAAGTCACATTATCAAGAAAAAAATCAAGGGACTGTAGAGAGGGCTCCAGGGTTCAGAGTCCACATTGCGCTCACGGAGGACCCAAGTTTGGTTCCCAGCACCCACACGGTGGCTCACAACCCCTTGTAACTACAGCTCCAGGGGATCTGATGCCCTCTTCCGGCCTCCTTGGGCAGCCACACTTGCATGCACATACATACCCACACACAGACACAGACACATCATTGAAAAAGAAAAGGCTAAGTAAGAGGATGTTGCAAATTGTTGGCCTTCTTACAAATTCACAGGCCGTCCACATGGAAGTAGACAAAGCAGGTCACAAAGAGACAGAGGAAAGAGACAGGGCAGGGATGCTGAGCCCAGGCCTGCAGCTACATGGAGAGAGCGGTGAGGCCTCAACATTTCTAGTCCTTCCTGAAGCAAAGGCTTTTGGACTTCTGTCACCAAACTTCAGGGTTTATCACCCCCAGGGTTTATTCTAAATAAACAAACACAAAGTCTGCTTCTCTTTGGAATTGTGAGACTTTTCCTGTGGGAGCTCACAGAAGTTTCCTTGTGAGATCAGAGTTTGCCCGACACAGCGGAGCTGCACAAGGGGATGATTTGACCACGGGCAAGGTCGCCAGGTGGTGGGGATGGTCTGCACTTGGCTGTGCTGGCGGGAGGATTTGGCTCCTCCCCTTGGCATTCCTTTAAAAGTCCTTTGGCAGAGACAGTCAGGGCCTGATGGATAAGGATCCAGGCCCTCCCGAGGCTATTCTGTGTTTCTGTCTGTCTGTCTGTCTGTCTGTCTCTCTCTCTCTCTCTCTCTAGCTATCTTTCTATCTAATATTTCCTGCTGCTCCTGCTTGAGAGTACCCTGGGGAAAGGTGGGGGGCGTGATGACCCCCCCCCACATTTTCCTTTGACACTTTGAGAGCTATGGTCTCCCCCACCTGCACCCGAATGCCACACACCTCCTTCCTGAGCACCCTGTTGATTTCTGGAGGCCTTCTTAACCTGTAAGCACCCCTCAGCTTCATCTGTCTTAGGTTAGGCTGCCTCAGTCAACAGTGCTCGGAATCACTTTATGATCAGCATTGTGTGTGTGCATGCACATGCACACATGTGTGCATGCAGGTTTCTATGGCTTTTGCTTGCTTGTTTGAAAAAGCTGGGAGTCAAGTGAGGTCACATTTTCATTTAAAAATAAATTGCTTTTGGCTTTAGTCTTAGTGGGGATAATATGCAGAGGTAAAGCCAGAGCAAATGTGATTGATGCATCTCGCTTCAGGAAGAAGGGACCAGCAGGATCACAGAATCGTGATAGACTAGTGGTTAGGATTTATAGAATGGATTGCTGAGTATTGCCTAGTATTGTTGTTGTTGTTGTTAGAGAAATCTCGCCTGGTTAACCTGCCAGGTTTTCCACCCATCCTCCAAAAACGGTCGTGCTTTTAAAAGGGTAGCTGGGAGATTTATTTAGGTCCTGACAGTCTTTCACTAGATTCCTTACCAAAGGCTGTGAGTAATCCTGGAATTGTGTGCAATTTTATTGTGAACCAGGAAGTAAATGGATTTAATTTCAGGAAACAAAATTGAAACTAAATCCATACTTCTCCAACGGAAACACATAAATAATGGGATGCCCTCAGGGCAGGTTAGTGCTTTTTTTTTTTTCTTTTTGAATGTCATAACTAATCGGAAAGAGGGAAGATATAGTGGAACCCGCACATCTGTGCTTCCCTCTACACTCTTCCAACTTGAAGGACTAACTTTCACAGACTCTTGTAAGATTGCGTGAGTCAGCAGGAGAGTGGCAGGTGACCTTCGGGTACACAAGGGGAGAGGATGCCTTGAGGAGGAAGCAGGCAGCTGCATTGACATGATGATGACTTGGGCTCCCTTCCATTCCTGGGGTCCTGAATGCCTCCTAAAGGCCCGTGTAGTAAAGGCTGGGTCCCACCCCACGTCCGTGCTGGGAGTTGATAGGGGGTACATCCCTGAAAGGGGACTGGCATCCCAAACATCTGATTCCTTCTCTTCCTGGCTGTGCAGTCGGAGGTTTGGCTCGGACACAAACCCTAGCTACGGTGTGCTGTCACACCATAGGGCTGGCTGACCACGGGCTGAACCATCCAAACGCGTGAGCCAAGAGAAACGCATTCTCTGTATAAAGAGCTTGTCTCAGGTGTGTTTTCATAGTGGCAGAAAGCTGATCAATATCTGTAGCAGGAATCTTAAAAATCTTAAAATTTTATTAATAAAATCAAACCCGGGGCCAGTTATTGGGGTGAAATGCTGGATGGTCAGAGAGAGGTGAAATGCTGGATGGTCAGAGAGACAGAACAAGCCACAGCTAACCTCACCTGGCCAACTTCTCAGCTGGTCTTGTTTCCTCAGACTGGAAGCCTCTGTGTCCTCATATCTGAATGGCTCTCAGCTGAACTGTGCTGCTCAAAACCTAAAAGCTTAACCAGCCAAATGCTTAACCAGCCAAATGCTCCTAGTTTCTGATCCTCATGCCTTATATACCTTTCTGCTTTCTACCACCACTCCCTGGGATTAAAGGCTCGCTTTCTGGGATTAAAGTCGTGAGTCACCATGCCTGGCTGCTTCCAATGTGGCCTTGAACTCACAGAGATCCAGAGGGATTTCTACCTCTGCAGTGCTAGGATTAAAGATGTGAATGCCACCATTTTCTAGCCTTTGTATCTAGTGGCTGTTCTGTCTCTGACCCCAGATAAGTTTATTAGGGTGCACAATATTTTGGGGAATAAATACCATCACAAATACCAAGGAAAGGGATCTGAAATCATTGAGGATGAAAAGGCCTCCATGCTTGAATAACTCGATGAAATATTACCAACTATTAGATTCACCATGCACTCTAACACATTAAAAAGACATTTGATTATTAGTCTAGCTTTGTTTATTCTGGACTCAGTTTAAAAAGGTAAAAGCCTGGGGAGTTAATGCCATAGTTTCTTATTGAGCAAAATGGTGCTGTTGGATAGTAGGTCTTTACAGCTCCCACTGTGAGCCTCACTTCTTAGTGCTTCAAGGACAACAAGCCAACATGGCATCATATTAGTCAACTTTGCATTGCTACAATAAAATACCCATGGCAGGTAACCTATCAAGATAAAAGGTCTAGTTAGCTTGCAATTTAGCAAAGTCAAAGTCTAAAATCAATTATCTCCACTGGCTTGGTCTCCAGGGAGAATGGCAGATGGTGACATGTCATGACAAGTGCATGTTGGAACAAATGTTCACATCTAGAATCAGAGCAGAGACAAAGACAGACCAGGGTCCCACAGTCTCCTCCAAAGGCATGCTCCCTGTAACTTAGCAATTAAAGGTCCACAGCACTTCCTAATATCTCTGTCCTGAAGACCAAACCTCTACACATGATCTCTCAGTAACAGTGTCAAAGCCCTATCTGTTCTGTCTTGAGAATCTTCTATTAGTGGTCAATATTTGCTCCCTCACCCAGATAACCAAGGCTCCAGCAGATATAAGAGATCAGGCAACTTTACAAGTGAGACCTGGAGGATGTGGGTGTCTCCCCAAAGTGAATAAGCCACTCGTACATGGACACCAGTTTCCACAACGTGAAACAAACAAGGAAGGCTGGCATCTTGCACAGCACCAAGG